ATGCACCACTACTGGCGTAAATCGGTATAGCACCCGAGGTTACTGGTCAATGTCGCGAGTCAATGTGAGGGAGTGCCACACAGCAAAAATCATTTAAACACCAGAAATGAACCGAACAGTTGTTGGGGGGGTGCCTTCTTATGATCAAATAGTCCTGGGTGCCACATGAGCACTGCAGAAGCATATAAGCATATTGTTTATATAACTGTATATATACTCTTCACCCTCCTGCCATCTGGTAAGAGGTAGCGAAGCATTCGGGCCCTCACTACCAGACTCTGCAACAGCTTCTTCCCTCAAGCCATCAGGCTTCTAAACACACAGAGACTGGACTGAGACAGACACACACACACACACACACACACACAGTCATTACACCACTCAGCATTTCTACTTGCACTACAACTTGTCTTTTTTTATTTTGCTGCTACGCATTAGTTGCTGCTCGTATATGTATTGTCTATTGTCTCTGTTGCACTTGTCTCGTGTTTGTTTACTTGCTGTTTTTGCACATGTCTGCACACGTGCACTTTACATACGTGCAATTTACGTTTTTCTGTATTGTCCCAGCCCTTTTATGTAGCACCATGGTCCCGGGGAACGTTATTTCATTTCACTTTGTACTGTACCATGTATATTGTTTAAATGACCTTGACCCTTGAACCTTAATGGTATGAAATAATTATCATATTGTTTACTCAATCATTCATTTATCTGTTAATGATATTATTGTCTGTTTTTCTGCTTGTAACTTGACTACTTTTTTTTCTTATATTTTTTTTGGGTTTGCACTACCTTTCAACTCAGAGGGATATACTGTAGGGTGTGTCTATTTGTTGTGTATGTATAAAGTTCAAAAGTAGTACTTACTGAAAATGCTGTACACTATTATGATGGCTTCAAAATACTGCTGGAGTACAGTAGCATGCCTTTAATTTCCTATTATTCTGTAAAATCACAATTAAGATGTGTGTCTTCTTTATGTTTTCTATACAGATGTGAATGAATGTGAAAGAAACCCTTGTAAAAATGGAGGAATCTGCACTGATTTGGTTGCAAACTACTCATGTGAATGTCCTGGGGAATACATGGGAAAAAACTGCCAATATAGTAAGTGTGTATTTTTTCCTCACTTGCTCTCCTGCATGCAGCTAGTGCTGTTCAAAATTCACATCTACAAAGTCAACCCTTACCATAAGCCGGAGGCTTGAACAGCTGTGATCTTTCAGTCCATCATTCTGTATCTGAGTCTCTTCCTATCTACATCTGTACATTGCACAGGTTGAATGAATTAGGGGACAGAATGTGTAATTTCAGCTTCAAACATGTGCGAGACTGCTGTCAGTCATACAGATGGACTTCATTAGCTCCAGGCAATTCCCATAGGGAAATCTCAAATCTGTTTGAATGTTTATCATTTTTGGATTTTTTTTTCTCTAGGCGTAATAAGGTAATTATTAGGTAACTGAGTATATTTACTTTTTTAAGACGATGTAAAAATACATCATGCATTTTATCAGCAAACCCAATTTACTACCCAGATAGTGTCAACTCTGTTGCATGGTTTGAAACTGATAAAGAATTAATAATTGTTACTTTTGAATATAACAGCAGTTGGCGTAATAGTGCATACAGTAGCACTGATTCGTCCCAACCAGTTTTTGGTCTTGCCTGGCCAGCTTGTCACAGATCTCACAACACAGAAATTATTTCAGAGACGCCATTTCACTTAAATCAAATCTTTGGGGTATGACAGGAAAAAAAATAACCTTCACACCCAGGTCAGGAATACAGACACAATTTTCATGGTGTGAGGCCACAATGCCTCTCAATTATGTATAAGCATAATAGTCTGAAAAAATATTTGCACCTTTTTGTCCTGGGCAGTTACAGAATCAACTTTTGTAGCAGTGTGTGGCTCTGTGGGTTAGATCTCTGCGCCTGTGATCACCAGTTCAAATTCTTTGGTCAGCAGAGTGATTTCACCATCACATCTTTGAGCTAGGCCCTTAACGCCAAGGCTCCTGAGACTGACCCAGCTTTTCCAGCTGTACTGTAAGTGGTTAAAACAAAGAACATACATATTAAAAACAATTAGGAACAATACTGATATACACGTGAATATACTGCTTAAAAAGACATAAATTGTATCACCATGATAATGTTGGGAACAGAACAAAGTGGGGGTCATGAGATGATTTCTATTCGTTTACGACAAATGTACCATGAGCCCCCCCCATATCTGCAAAACGGTGCTCTCAGGTTTCTGGCATTGTTCTTTTGGGAATTGTGTGCTGAATGGTTTAGAAACACATGCTTAAAAATATAGAACTTTAATAGATTTGTTTCGTTTTTACCTTTGCTAATTAATCTAAACTTTTGTTCCCCAGTCTGTTTCTTTGATTATGTTTTGTTTATTTGTGCGTCTTGTTTATCTTCTTGAAAGAATGCTCTGGACCTCTTGGGATGGAAGGGGGAATAATTTCCAATCAGCAGATCACAGCGTCTTCCACTCATCGTGCATTGTTTGGGCTGCAGAAATGGTACCCATATTTTGCCCGGCTAAATAAGAAAGGGCTTGTGAACGCCTGGACCGCCGCTGAGAGTGACAGATGGCCATGGATTCAGGTAACAAATAGGGACCAGCACTTATTATTGTATATTTACAGAAAATTGGCCTGTTAATATACCATTTTCAGCAGGGGTAGGAAAATTGATTTGATTATGATGCTTGTAGCAAATGTTACACAGGCTTTCAGGACCAGTCCCTGCCCTGTCTGTCATCCCAGCTTGGCCAGCAGGTGTTGCTGGCCATCCCATTTCGAGTGTTTGAGTCCTGGGTGGTGTTCCACGAAGCAGGATTTCTCGGTTAGCTGGGTTTAACTTAGCTAGAAGTCATGATTGTCCAATAGGAATGTTCTTTACCTAAACTCTTATTGGACAATCTAGCTAAGTTAAACCCAGCTAACTGAGAAATCCTGCTTTGTGGAACACCCCCCCCCCCCAGTGTTTAGTAATGATAACTAAACACTAGGGCTGGGGATAACAAGATAGACCCCAATTAGTGTTCTTTGTTGCTGTCTCCCCAGTGTTTCCCTGATTGTTAGTTCTAGCCCTTGTTTGTCCTTCTGCCCTGCTTGCCGTCGGTTTTGACCCTGAATGGTCCTTTGTTTTGTGTGTAGTTTAATTTCTAAATAAAATCCTGTTGTCTATAAGCCCCCTCATGGATCAACACTCAGTCCCAGTGCACCGACATGCCAGGTGAATTATGAGTTCATCTGATTGTCTTTAGGAATGTATTATTATTTGTTATGAATGTGTTTATAAATTACTAAATGTGTCCTTAAGTAAAGTGTTACCTAAGGTCTGAAAACTCAGTATTAATGTGCGATTTCATTATTAGTACAATTTTATATAAACTTTTTAAAAATTATTTTTAATTATTAGTTTTTTTCCCCGTCTCAATTCTAGAAAGGTGTAATCGGTGGAGGATCCAAAAAAAATTAATTGGGGTGACAAAGCTGTGGCAGGGTGACTAGACAAAAATAAAGAATTAAAAGAAAAACTAACACAGTCTGGTTATTTTGCTTTAATCAGATTAAGGCGATTTCTGTAGTCCAGCAATGCGTTTAACTAACTCATCCAAGTCCAATGTTTTTCAGCCAGTCATCCGATATTTTTGAGCGCAGGTGATTTTTCGTAAGTTTCAAAGTAAAGAAGCTACACTTGCATCCAGCACTACCTTCTGGCAAAACAATTGCAATTTTACACAAATGGAAAAAGGTTCAAAAAACACACCTTCACAAGGATCCAGAAACTTGACAAATTCCTTTCCATTTTTCTTATCTCTTTCAAAAAGTCTCTTGGTCTGATATAACTCATTCTTCAACTCCTACAAATCTTATCCATAAACATCTGTAAATAACATAGTTTTCTTCCTTCAGGAAGTAACTGCTTAAAGGGTTCATGGCCTGTATGTCCTTCATTATGTCACAATTGGACTTTGAGAAGCATTTTCCCATCTCACCAGTCCCTGAATCGACAATTGAGGAAAAAAAAGTGCATTCTAAAAGCATCTTTACAGTCCACTTATATTTTCTGTCTAAGTGAAGATATGTCAACGATTCCATGTAGTCTATTAAAAATCTCTTTGCTTCTTTTCTGTTTGGTGGAAGTAAAAATGTTGCATCTATCCCGTTTCAGTAATTGTTTTCCTTAGTTAATTGAAGTTGTCCTCATTACGATATTCCACAAAGGTCAGCCTAAGGGTGTCAATTAAGTCGACTACTTTGATTAGGTCACTCTGTCCCAATGTGCCGTAATTGATCAGAGGGTCTCCACTGGCAGTGTTGCCAGATTAAGCAATGAGTTCCCAAAAACCCACCCCAATCTATAAAAGAGAATGCCCAAACTAATATGAAACAATACTAAATTAGATGATTTGACTAAGACAAATCTTGCTAACCAGGCAAATAAATGTCTGATGTTATGATAAACTTAAAGAAATGCCATATGTGTAAACCAATATGGCTTCAAGTAATACAGTACTGTGCAGAAGTCTTGGGCAGTCAAAAGAAATGTTTAAAGCTATTTGTCTGGGTAGTAATTGTACTTTGCTCAGAACAAAAAACACAATTTAGCTTTAGAACACACGCAAATTAAGAGTAACAATCAAACTAGTAAGAATTTCTTCTGTTCTCCAAAAACTTACTGCTATCTAGTTAGATGGCTAGATGAACACCACTTCAGTTCCCAAACCTCTCCCCAGGGGCACCTCAACCATTCCATGTACACTAAAACCTCAGATTGCAAGTATAATTCATTCCTGAAATGTGCTCGTAATCCAAAACACTCGTATATCAAAGCAAATGGAAACTCAGATGATTAGTTCCACAACCCAAAAATATTCATACAGAAATTATTAATACAAAATATAAAGAAAAAATACATAAAACAAATTAACCTGCACTTTACCTTTGAAAAGAATCGTGGATGGTGTGAGGGAGACGAGAGAAAGGAGAAGAGGAGGGTTATTTTGTAGGACGACTTTCACTATAACTAACGGAATCACTGCTCTCTGTTGGCTCACTGGAATCTTTTTCTTTTTGTGCGACTAACAAGGAACCTATCCAATGAGAGCCGCTTTTGCCTCCTGTGGACATTGCATTGTCATTAAACAGATTCATCGCTCGCACTGCTACGCCCTTATTCAGGTGGTGCTTTTCTACTAAATTTTGACTATATGAGTGAGACACGCCAACTGAGACCAAGCTTCGGAAACGATTCTCACAATTCCGCAGCGAGAGAGAGAGAAGAACCATCGGCTCAGTTGTAATCACGTAATGCTAGGCAGACAAAGCGTATACGTAATACTCGTATTGCAAGACCTCACTCGTTTATCAAGTTAAAATTTATCTAAAAATTTTTGCTCATCTTGCAAAACACTCGTTAACCAAATTACTCTCAATCTGAGGTTTGACTGTATTTAGTAAATTTCAACACCAACTCCCTTAAATAATTTTATTAGTTAAAAAAAAAACAAAACAATTTTTAATTGATTAGCTATACAGCGTATGCTAGTGGTTGATTCAAAAAATACATGGGTGTGTGGATGGTTCCTGCAATAAACTGGAGTGATGGTAGCAGAGGCTTTGAAATGGCTACGCTAACACACGTTGACACCACAATATTATAGTTTTACACCAACATGAAAATCATTTAAACAGATGATTTAAGCATTATTTTTCTTTGGCTTTCTAAGACTTATGTACAGTACTGTAAGTTTTAAAACACCTTCATTTCTTCAGTTACACTGTAGTTAAAAACTATATTTTCATGCACTTTTTCTACACATTGACAGTTTAGCTTTAAACAGTGCATTAAAGACTCGCACACAAGTTTACAGTTAAATAAATTAACCTGCAAAAATACGCGGTGAACATAAACAATTTTATATGTACAAATACAAACTAAAATTTTCTATTTGGCTCCTAAAAATAGTTTTAATTTTGGATTAATCTTGGATTTTTTGGAGAAGGAGGTTTGGGATGGCAGCTGTCACCATGTGCCACCTCGTAGATCCACCACTGAGTTACATTTAAGGGAGGAAAGCTTGAGTCCAGAGAGCAGGGTGAGGTAGTGGCTCTGGAGCAGTACTCATATCGCCCAACAGTGATATGAGTATTCTCACAGGATTTGAACCCCCATCATTCCAGACACAGATGTCTAACTTGCTGGGCTACACAACACAAACAACAAGATAAACACAAAAAAAAGAATAAACACAGGATAACAGAAATAAATCAACAAAATAAAATGTTTTTTTTTTCCCCAAAAATGATTTTTAGTTTATAGTTAGAATAGACTGACAATATCAGCTGAAGTCCTGTCATGTGCCATTTGTAATATGAAAAAAATGAAATATATTTTAGTGAACATGAAATTGACGAGTGGCTTTTCTTCAAATGCTTTTTTTCACTTGCCACTTTTTGTAATTTTGTAATATTGTCCATAGTAATCTCTCTTTAGAAGTTTTTTTAAGCAGCAAATTGCACATCCTGCACCAATACTAGATGTCCACTTCTGAGTTCATGCTCAATTAGCAGTCAGTAAAAGACCTATTCTGCTTTACATCATCTGGATATTAGGCTATAAAAGGTAACCTTTATCAGGAAAAACAGGACAATTTTATTGAACAATTTCTTCGATCAAACCGAAACAATAGCACTTCAGCTAAAGTGTCAAAAAATTGTGTTTTAATTTTGGGGTTCAGTGAAAGTCAGAGAGGTATCAAGGGGTGCTTTATTTAAATATTTAGCTGATTCTTTATTCAAAGCTAGTAAGGGCCAGCCAGCATCTCTGGAGCAGCTGAGGTTAGGGGCCTAGTGTTGATTAAATTATTTTGCTGGCAGTGGGATTTGAACCCACAAAATTCTAGACAAACATATAGCCCTATTCCCTGAGTTTCATACCACCACCCTCATGGAAGTAAATTATTAAATGTGCAGTCACCATGTGGCAATCAATATATATGCAAATAAATTGCAACGCTCAATAAATCCTATGAAAGTAGTGAAAGGTATTGCCATGAATTTTAATCCTTTATAAACGCATACAGTAAATAATATTATATTTTTCTAGCTTTACAAAACTGAATACCTTAAGCTGCTCTGTGCCCTGACCATAATGACATAATAATTACATTTCTAGTCTTATTTTCATGATAGCCATTTTTAAATTACATTGATTATATCCTTGGATCAACAAATTCCTTCTGTCGACAGACTGAGCCTTACAGGCCCAATTACTTTGCGGGGTCTCTGCATGGTGTTAGCGTGACTGACAGCTCCAAGCAATGGAACAAAATAGCACAAAATAGCTAAATTCTTATAGTGGGAACATTCCACACATTCCAGGTACTTTGCAGTGCAAAATAAAATTAGCGGAGAAGCATACCTCTATCTGACACCTGTTCTCTAATGGACATAGTGTGTTGTTGTTATGTCACCTAAGGAAATCCATATAGCTGTCAATAGTTTTGGGAACTGAGAACAATTGAACAACCGAGTTTCTTTTTGCATCCAGTTGTGGCTGCTTACACTCATCGTTCTTCACAGTGTTTCACCATCACCAATATTTATGGGAACAAAGGAGTAATGCAGTCTTTTAAGAAATTAGTGTTTGTAAAATACATTACATTGACTGGGTCAAATACTATATAATAATTTTAATATATCAAATTAAGGGACACATGCAATGAGATATAGAAATCACTGGTGTGTGTATGTATGTGTGCGTGCAAAGATGAGAGATTTTGATCCTCTATGCCCAGGCATTCTTCCAGCAATGAGCTAATTAGTTTGAATGATAGTTCTGAAAAGATCATCTAGAGCGAGTGCTTATGCTTAGGATTTTGCGATGAACAGGGTCTCATTTAGTGTGCACTTAACCACAAATCCATAAAGGAAATTGCTCTTCTCAGTAGTGCTGTGGTAGACTTCTGGAACTGTCTCTTTCCTCATGTATTTCATGGAAAAATAATTTAAAAAAACAATCTCTTGCGTGCATGTTTTCAAAACAGTCTCATATGATTTTTTTTATATGCATAACTGAAATATTTTTTAAAGCATTTCCCTGTAATGTTAACCACATTGTATTGAAGTTATATTCTCTTTTGAAAAGTACTGCCACATTATAAACACATGTTTTTGGTTCATATTAAATACATGTAAAATGAAGTGTGATTTACTTACATGGTTATTAACAATAATGGCATTTATTCACATGCAGTTATTGCATAACAATTGAAGACATATTGAAGAAGACAGCATATTACATAAATCTGTGGGAAATTTGCCTGTGATGTCTGCCTTGTCTTCACCTTTACACTTTCACTGTCACACCATAGTAGGCGAGGAACTCACACGCACAGTTCCTTTCTTTGCAGATAAACCTACAGAGAAGAATGAGGGTTACAGGACTGATAACACAAGGTGCCAAGCGCATAGGTAGCCCAGAATATGTAAAGTCCTACAAAGTGGCTTCCAGCGATGATGGGAAGACATGGATGACCTATAAAGATAAGAACACAGATGAGGACATGGTGAGTCTTTAAAAGCCTTAATCATTTCCTGCCTGTAACAAACTTAGAGAGTAAAATGTTCTTATGGGCAGCAATTTAGGTGTTGTTAGTGACTCTCAGTTAGCATCCGGGCATTGGCTATGCCAGGTACTGAAAGTTTGTAATAAAGCTACAAAACTTGTCAGGTACAGTATAATTGAAATGACTTCTTTCACCTCAGATTATCACACATACAGGCCAGATGGTGGCGCGGTAAGTCAAACTATGGGTGTTCTTTTATTGGTCAAAACTCGCCTACAGATACCATGGAACCTACAAAATTAATATGTTAGTTTAAGTGACTATAATTAGTAAGACAGATTTCTGAACACTTCAGACATGCTTAGAAATACCCAGATAAAACCTAATTAACTGGCTGCTAGGAAATGTATAGCATTGAATGTATTTTTGTGTTTCTTACTGCTTTTAATATGGGGCCCTGCAACTTTCATGCAGGCAAGATGGGATTTAAACCAACAACCATGGAGTTGTTGGGGGGCAACAGTGTCATCCACTGTGCCACCATATCTCCCATTGTGTGGCGTGTTGAGTCCAAGACAGTGTGTCCTCCTTTTAATCACATTTTTCTTTAACATTAATTGAATCATTCACGCAAAAATTGGCAGTCTTTAATGTACTGGTGGGGCATGGATATTGTGAAGACAAATGCTGTCTATATACCACACTATTTGTACTATAGTGTATGCTTGAATACAGATTGGCCTGCAAAATTTCATGCCATAGGTTCAAACAAAACAAAATCTGAAAGCCAAAATTTCCACTTGCTGTTCAACTGACTAGCATTCATAATCAATCAGATTCCAAGCGGCAACATTGTCTAACTAGTTTGTAAAATATTATTAATAGCAACAAAGTATCATTATAGTTTTGCATTTGACAAAACTTCTTTTCACTTTTACATAGTGAGTTTTTTTGAGTTCTGATGAATCTCAGTGATGCTCATTTCAGTCACTGATTTTTTTAAGCTCTTCTAGTACTGTGGTAGCTTTATTTTTTGGTGTCCACTTCAAAAACACTCGAAAGTGCTTTTCAGTAACACAAACTACTTGAAATACTCTGCCTTACTAAGGTCCATTACAAATTGATTCCAAAACATAGAGATCTATTAATAGACACTGGCAGAGTGTGGCTCACTACGGTCATTCTAAATCATCCATGGTTTTTAGTAAAACAATATTTTGTTCTTTTTTCTTCACTGTAGTTGTACTGTTTTGTGTTTATTTTCTTCAAGTGAGTCGCAAAAATATAAAAAACTATATTATATTGTTGTGTAATACATTAATTTTTGGTATTCTCTAATAGCTTTATTTCTAATCCAAATAAGAATGCTTTATTACAATGCACAATCTGCCAGGCATAATAAAATTGTAAAGAGTATTTTATTTTATTTGTGTGCAAGTGTTTATTGTTGCACATACTACTGTTATGTTTGGCACTTAATTCCAAATCTCCATTTTTGTCTTTAAAGATTTTCCATGGAAACACTGATAACAACACACCCTTTGCTAACTCCTTCACACCTCCAATTCAAGCACAGTATGTGCGGATTTACCCACAAGTCTGCAGGAGGCACTGCACACTCCGTTTGGAGCTGCTAGGCTGCGAACTAACAGGTCAGTGGCTGCTTAAGGCAAAGAATTATATAGATGTCTGATTCTTGCACAGGTAGTAATACCCTATCAGTATTTCCTTGAAATTCAAGACAGGAATCTGACAACATATTCTTGCACCATTGTCAAAAATATCCAGAAAAATGCATTAAACACAAATTCCAGAAATAAATCATGTATTATGTTAAATAATTTACCTTGATGTGTTTGTAGTATCAACTTGATTTGTTTTTATTTTATTATTATTGTTTTAAAGGGTGCTCGGAGCAAATGGGAATGAAATCTGGTCACATCCAAGATTATCAAATTTCAGCATCCAGCATATTTCGAACTCTTAACTTGGATATGTTCACATGGGAGCCGGGGAAGGCCAGGCTAGACAAGCAGGGCAAAGTTAATGCATGGACATCGGGTCGCAGTGACCAGTCTCAGTGGCTGCAGGTAAGACCAATTAGTCATGTTTAAAATGTATTCCACTCTGTCTTGTTATCTATAGCTGCAGTTCTTTGGGTCTTGCTAAGATAGATGAGTTACTTTGTTATATTAGCATCCATTAATGAAACTGATAGTGCTGACCAATGAATCATCCTGGAATAGCTTGATAGAAAGCACAGTCCTTAAGAGGCAAATAGAACATGAGGACTTGAAGGTACTGGTATACTTGCGATTAAAATAGAATTTATAATTAATTTATTATTAAATTATAATTTAAAACCTATGTATTTAATGTTAATTTGTCTGGCCAAACATTAGAGGAGCAAATGAAACTGTCCATAACCATGAAAATACACATGTATTATTTACTTATTCCTGGAGACAGTTTGAAATAGAACCTTAAATAAGACTTGCTCTAAACAGAATAGTAAATAGAATTGCTTTACACGGGAATGGGAGGAAAGAATAGTGACTTTATTTACAGTTGATTACAGAAAAAATGTTGTTTTGGTAACAGAGCTTTAAGAAATACAACATGGAAAAAGCAACAACTGGGTATGTGTTCAGGTATCGGGGCCTGGATGGATTTTATTGTTAGAAAGAAACCTGATGTCTTATACAGAACTCTGACAACTTGCATAATATTTTGAGATGAGGTGCAAGTGAAGTATATGAATATCACTTAATTTTCGAGTATATCAGTAAATGTTTTTTTTATTGTAGGTGTGTATGACCAAACTAAGATAATGAAGTGTTTAATTTAGATATTAGATTTTTTTTTTCTTACACATTTTTCGATAATAAATTCAAGAAAGTTAAATTCATTTTCATTCATACCCTTTCTTAACTTTTTAGAAACAACTCAGCTATTTTATGCCTGAAAATCTATGTATACATCTGGCACTTGTTAGTCACAGGTCTATGGTTGCTCTGTAAAAAAAAAAGAAAAACATTGACGCAGTACACATTGAGTGGGAAATGTCAAGCTCAACTAATTAATTATAGAGTAATTGGCCTTATAGCTATTAGAGGTGACATTCTAGAAATATAGTTTAGTGGCAAAGTACTTATGTAATTAAGCATTTTAGAGAATAGTAAACATGGATTTAATATAGGTAGATCTTGCTTATTGCAATAATGTGAGCATGCAGCAAAGACCAATGACAATTTCTTTAGTTTAAACACAATATGAATGAACTAGGCAGAGATGGATCAAGGTGGCTTACTCATATGAACATAAACTCATATATTAACAAACATGATGTCAGAAAAACTGTAAATTACATTTATGGATGTTTTTATTATTATGTATTTTATTGCAAAATAGACTAATGGAATTTGTTTGCAGGTGTCATTGTAAGGTGTATCATTTTGTTTGGGTTTATAAGCTTAGCAGGATGAGCTTTACACACATACTGTATATCCAGTGTCTCTAAGTGAGTCTGGGTAGTACAGTATTAGTGGTTTACCATCCCCCTTCTGTGGGGCTGCCAAGCCTCTATACTTAATGTGAACTGTAACCATAAAGAACCACAAATAAACTCAATTGTACAAAAATGCAACATAAACAAGGTTATTGCTATTATGTTGCTGTTTGTTTTTGGATGAATTGTACCATTTAGGTATTTGAGTATGTAAGCTATATCTGTTCAATAAGGTATTTTTACTTAGTTGTCCAAGATTCTTATTTAGTTAACTCTGATTTGAAATTCAAACTAATATCACCTTAGATGATTGTACATAAATGGGAGCAGTACGTTTTGGTATTATAATATTAAGCTTGTACTGAGAATTGGGTTTTATGTTATGAATGTGAATTCTCACACTCTCAGCTTTACCTGTTATGCAGTGAATGACAAACCTGTTGAAGGTCAGGTTAAATATCACATGAAGTCTGTGTGCATTCCATCTTGTTCTCCTCTGACACTGTGAGCCACACTGTGTATAACGTTTGCTTAATGACTTAGCTGCTTAACGTAATATTTAATGTGTATTAATTTCAGCCAGAATAACACATTCAGCTTCTTCAAGACATTGTTTTGCCAATGATCCCTGTGACATGACTTCAGTTATGTATAGTTCAGATTTTTATCCTTTAAGCAGGATGTATCAGAGAAAGAGATCTGTTTCTCAATAAATTTGGCATGCTGATGAGATGCTTGCATTATGTTTGCATTAGTTTGCTGTGTTAACTTTTGCATGGAATTGGTCATAGTGCAAGCAGTTCTGTCAAGCAGATAAGCACAATAGAATAAACAAAATAATAATAGCAACAATAAAAGTTATTAGATATTACAGGCTATATAGTGTGTGAAAAACAGAATTTTTATACAGAAGCCAAAACTAAGGAGGAAATTGCGTTCTCTTTGTTAGAATCCAGACTGACACTTCAATTATATAGAAACATCTTCTGAAGAATTTCTTGAAAGATGATATAAGTAGGATCACCTTGGAGAAGAAAAAAAAAAGATCGCCCTAAGGAAGGTGTGACAGAGCTTTATCATTCCTGCCCCCCTCCCAAAAACACAGAAAAAAGCAGACCATCATTAAAAATATCCCTTTCTATATTTCCCTTAAACACACGCACGCACACACAGGTTTGTAATTATATCTTAGTGGGGACTCTCCATTCATTTCTATGGGGAAAACTCTAATCCCAACATTAACCTCTACCCAGCCATAACCTTAACCATAAGTAACCAAACAAAATCTGAGACTTTTGGCATTTTTAGTTTTTTTATTGCATTCTATCTGAAAAATGGTCCCCGCAATGTCAAAATAACAGGTTTTTATCACATTGTGAGGGACACTCACACTCACACGGCCTGCTTGCGGGTGCCGAACAGCACCAGTCAGGGTGTCTGGTATCAGCCTGCTTTTCCATACCTGTCCCGCACTGCACATGCAGAGCTCGCAGGCTGGTGGAACAAGCCGCACTGCATACTGCATTATGTGATCCAAAATGTTTGTAAATATACAATAAAATAAATATCATTATTTATTCCTTAGTTTATAAAGATGACTTGTAAGTTTGAGTGTGGTCCTGGAAAGGGTGAAATAACTCTGAACTGTTTCTTGTAAAGCAGATTGCAGTTCATCTCAAAACCTAGATGGAGTAGGTACTCTGACTGAACACTAGGTAATATTGTGCTGTTTCTGTCTGACTTTTACTTGTTTTAAGTGTTTTTTTTTTCCTTATGCCTGGCGCTGGTAGAACTTGATTGTGTGAATCAGGCATAATATGTGGTTAAACCACCATTGCATGTGCTATCGTGGTATTGTGGCAGAGACAGTTTTTTAACATTTTTGACAACCCATTCAGCCTTACCTGACAGGAGGTTAAAAGCAGAGAAAGCTCTTTTGTGATTACTCCATCATAAGATTCCTTTCTGGTAGAGAATGAGCATAAAGTGCTTTTCTCGGTCATGGACCATTTAGGACTCTAACTGAAACTGACCGACAAGACACATGACTAAATGGCAAACGGCCTACACAGTCACGGCCTATTACCACCAATAAGTCTGGGGGGAAATGGCAGATGCCACGGTTTTTGCTACAGAATGCAAACTGTGTGCATACGGTGAGTGTGGGGGTGATAACGTGCAATGTATCAAATTAAAAATTCTCCTTCAGGTGAAAAACAGCCTCTCACCCCGTGGATATGAAAACCAAACAATGTCCAAAGAACTTTGAACCATAAGAAATCAGAGAGGAAAAGGACTTTCAGCACTACTGAGATAGAGGTAGCCCCAACATTCAGAGAATGTACTGATTGTTTTGAAAAATGTTACAAGATCGGCATCAGGCATCCCCATGACCCAGCATAAATGGCTGGAAAATGGATGGAAAAGTAATAATAAGTAATACATCAGTTTTAATATAAATGTGATGACTGTTCCCTTTCTTATTATAATTAGTAACTAACTTGTGAAACATGTACTGAAATTGTTAGGGATAAGCCTATCCACATTTTTTCAGTTCCAATCCGACTCCAATACACAACTGCGGATACTGATAGAGATTTCAATATAAGAGCTCTTTTTACTTTAATATTTGAATATAATAAATATATAATTATACTTTATGGATATAAAGTATGCACATGATGTTACAGTAGATGTCAGACGTATAGTCACTGTGCTCACACCCAGAGTAGCATGAAACAGGAGCAGCGTTAAGGTTCGACTTGAATGCCACAAAAAACACATCTAAAATGGGAATGAGCTGTCAAGTGACTGATTGTACAAATATATTTCACACGAAATAGGAGCTATCTTTTTAGAGATTTCCAAAAACGAAATAAGCAAGTATCGGACATGGATCGGTCATGTATGGCCGATTCCTTATCCATCAAATCGATCTTAATACCGATCTGAATATCTGCAGAAATTGGTTTATCGAGCTCCTAATATTCCCGAAGAGTCCTTTTTTTGCTTCTTTGTATTGTTAACCCTTGCACATTTGTTGACAATTTATACGTAAATCACCTGAAAACTTGGATTTCTACAGCTTTTTATTTAAAATATTGCCTCTTAGCTGTTCTTCCTTGTCAAATTACAAAAGAAGACATTACCAAACTTTATATACAGTATGTTTCAATGGCACTGAACATACTATACTAAATGCATTACCTGCTGCTTTATTATTATGTTTATCCCACTGGAGATGTGATATCATTATGTTTCCCTCATTATAAAGAAATATAAGGAATAAATAATGTGGTTTCTGCTTTCAGTAGTAATATTGTGCGTTACAGCTCAGAGTGATGAATCGGTGGTTTTATCAAGTGTCTTTTTTGGCACTTAAATGAAAATATGCTAATTTAACCACATCACAAGTACTAAAATTCTTGTTGGAAGCTGAAACACTTTGCCTGTTAATTTTAACCAACTTTCTCATTTAGATTCTTGGCAATAGTCTTGTATAAGGATCTTCTCCATTTGGCAATGACTGTGCTGTGTAACTGGCTTACAATAGACATAGGGTGGATTACAAACTAGGGATTG